GTAGCGCGTTAAACCATCAAATTTTTTAAGAAAATAAATACTTGGGCTTTATCAAAATATGGAGATGCGGCATCGACTTGCACCTAATTTTACATCAAGTTTTTCTTAAAGTACAGATAATTACCTACAAAATGAAAAAAAAATCGTCTTGATACGATGAAAATTGACCGAGTTATGCGCATTTGAAAAATTGCAAAATTTCGATGAAAAATTTGTTGCGATAATTTTGTTGCGTAGTGTATATTCTGAATTCTAGAAAATTTAATACTTCAATCCAAAGTATTAAATTGAATATAAAATTCGATTTACTTATTATCTAGAATCGATGGAAGAGAACTATACCCTGATAGAAGGATTTCTGTAATGTCACACGAACATAACATTGAAACATTGAAACTATCGCAGTTACGTTGCGTAATGTTTCTGATAAATCTCTGCAAGATTGCGGCAACGTCAAAATGTTCGCTCCTATCTACAAGAAACGCTTCTGAAATATTACGGAAATGTTTGTAAAATCTTTCAGTGATGTTGGTGCAACGTCCTCTTTAGTTTCATTTGCAACATTGCAGAAATGTAAAAAAAAATGTAGATATGAGAGCAAAACTAGGCAAAATATCATTTAAGTATTTAAAATACAAAATACTGTCAATTTTAATCAGTATTTGAATTACAGAGTACAAAATATTTTCAACCTTTTGATTTGAAATATAAATTATTTCGAATCAAAAGACTGAAAGTAATTTGTACTTTATGATTCAAATACTAATTAATATAATTGACAATATTTAGCATTTCGTACTTTAAATATTTTAATGATGTATTTTGCCCAGCCTCGGGTGCGCGCGCACGATAATAAATATTGTTGATAAAAAAGCAAATGTTTTATTAAACCGCAATACTCTTATTCTTATGTTATTAAGTCACAATAGATTTTTTTAAATAATATATTATTAAATCACAATACCTCACGCATAACTATCTTTGAACAAGACCTTGTTTTAAAACGGAAAAATAAAAATGAGGAGAAATCTTTGAAGCTTATTTTATTCGCTTTGCCTTTGGCTGTGTGTATATATAATATATTAAAGCTCTATATAATATATTAAATTAATAAAATATATTAAAATATGTAACCATAAAAATAAAATTTTTTGGGATATTCTTTTTCTCTTTTTTTCTTCCTCTCACTAAGCATCTTATTTACTAAAAGATTAATATTCTTATCTATGTTGCACACGTGCGTGCGTTCGTGCGTGTGTGTGAGCATGATTGATCGATTGAATAAAGCTGTATCTGTATTTATTAATTGGAGATTTCAGAAATCTCTCAGAAAAAAAAACTTTGCATTTACAACGTTGAAAGAACTATACATTACAGGAACATTTCATAAGGCATAATGTTCTCATTTTTTAAATCAATTGCAGAAATATTGCAATTGTAATATTTCAAAGAAGATAGTCGAAATATTACAAATAAGATGAGACATTGGAAGGTCCCTGCAACACAATTGAAACCTTCGATGCTATCAGGGTATATTTTAACAAAGATCTTTTTTCTTAAGAAAAATTCTTCCTTTGCTTGAATCAAGTTTCATATTTACTTGTAAGGAAAAGTTTACGGTTATCTTAACACAAAAAATAATTTTTTTGTTTTTGTTACTTTTTATTTTTCCAGTTTAATTTATATTTTTACTGTTTCGCATATCTATATTCTGTCTAATTAACTACAATTAATTGAAAACCGTATCGCATTGGCGGCAAAACTTGAACCTACGATCCCTAGAACGGTAAGCTTAATACATTTACGCTGAGCTAATCGCACGTTCGTGATCGAGTCATTACCAATGGTATATCTCCCTATTGTAACTATTCTTAATTTTATAATGACTGTTTAATATTATTAATATTTGAGGAGATTATATGAAAACGAAATAATACGCTGATATTTATTAATTCAAAATAATTAAGATAAATATTATATAAGAAAACATTATAGAACAATATAAAATCATGTTTACAATTTGTTTTCAAAATAAATATTTATTTGAATTAAAAATATGAATTTACTTCAAACAAGAAAAAAATTTCTTGTTTCTAAATTATATCTCGCTTTTCCTAAATCTGTTGTTTAGAATTGAAAGAAAAGTACCAAATTTTTCTAACCTAATAAATTTTCTTACATTATTATATTATTAAATATTCAAATTAATCAAATCTGACTTTTCTTCGATAAAATTTTATAATATACTTCAAAAAAAAATAAATTCTTATTTTGAGTATATGATATTGAGTATTTCTAAAACTTGTGATGAATACATTTTAAGACTAGTAGCGAGAAAATATTCTTTACTGAAAGTAACCGTTACTTAAAAGAAGAAAAATAAAATGAATAATTACTTTTTTTAACAATAGAATGATATTTTTCTGTGTGTAGGAATAACGAAATTATAATTTTCTTAGAAATAATGAATGGTTATTAAATCATGAATTGTTGCATTGTGATTATTAATTTGACGAGATTTTGCTAAATAATAATATAAATAGTATTTACCGAGCTTTTTCGTCCATTCAGATAACATGTTTTGTAAGAGACTCATGATAGACAATTGCACTATGTCGATCTTATGAATTGCTATCTTTGTTTAAAGAAAAATACCGTATAACTATCATTCGTTGAGGAGAAATCACTATTGAAGTGACAGTTGAAATCGATTGTGCCTAATCATCTAGCACTCACCTTTGTATTTATATCGTGAGCTACTTTGCACTTTGCTCTTAGTTCCGCATGAGTATCTTCCTATAATGTGATCTTATAACCTCGATGTATTGATATTACCATAATGTGACCTACCTATATGTTAATTACAATTGATGCAACAATATGTTACTTGTAAGTGGCGCACAAATTCTTCCTAAAGTATTATTTAATAAGTGATATACAAATAATATACATTTCGGTCAATTATCATTATAAAATTGACCGTCAAAGAGCGTTGACGACTCTATTTCGTTTTAATTTAGTGTAACGATCTGACGATTTCCACCATTAATTATAGATAGTCCAGTAGAATTAGCGTTTTTTCGCGGAAAAATTGTAAACAGGCATCTCTCTCGACAGAAATGTTCGGAAGGCCATCAGAAAAGGAATGTATACGTTTGAGACTCGCAACTCGTGTGGGAAATATGCGAAAAAAAATTGAATAGTTGCAAAAAGCAGGTTTTTCGCTTATAAAACGAAAGTTGTCGATTGTATGGAAAGAAGTTCAGTATAAAAAATATAGGTATTCGAAATACCTACAAAATGAGATGTGGAACATTAAGATCGGTCTATTAATTTAGTAGAAAAAAAATAAAAACCACCGGAAAAGGCCTTTTTTTCACTCGCTCTTTGTTCGTCGAGATTTAAACGAAATGTTTGAAATTCTCGTAAAATGTAGCCTTCGTGATGACGAACAAATCCAGACCTGAACGAGCCTTAAATGTTCATTGGTTTTTGCAAAAAGCCATTTGTTCACTAAAAACTTGTCTGCGGAAAACTTAATTTCTTCATCTTTGAGCAGTCGTACAGCAATTTGCTGGAGTGCTTTTCTTTCTTCAAGAGTTGCACTATCACGTACACTTAGTAACAAAACGATTTTTTGCAGTTAAACTATTTTAAAACGATTTTAAAAAGTGAGTATTTTTTTTACTATAAGAAAATGGAATAATTTCGTTAATATGCATCATATCGAATAGCCGTGTGAAGCATTCGATAGCTGACATTTTTCTACGAATTTAAAAAAAAAGTTACCGTTCAATTATTAGGAGCCGAGATAACCATTTTTTTTCAAAAAATCACTGTGGCTCTAATTTTTAAGATTAAGAGTTCTTTCTGGTATCAATTGATTAAGAAAAATTTGAATTTGCTGTTAAAAAATTGTCTAAATGTTTGCTGCCGAAAAAATTTATTTGAAACTATTGGAAAGTTGAGGAACGCGAACGAGGCAGCGCGCCAGGCGGAGTGGGGGAAGCCGCCGCGCGG